GACTCTTGAGTCTTTCTAAAATAATCTGAGGTAGGTTCTTATCATACTGGTTGCTGATGTTTTGTGACAACCATACGTAGCTGAAGCCAGTCTCAACCATTTACGGGTATGAGAACCACTTATATGATCGGCAAATAGGGCTTTATACATACGGTAAGATAATTTGTTTTGCTTACCATTTACTCATTTAAACCAGAAACCTATAATACGACTCTTAATATAAACTGCAAGAAAAAACACGTCCCTATTCACAATATAGCAAATATAAAGGTGTACTTCTTTAAACATTAATAATACTTCGGAGAAAATCCGTATGTACTTTTTCAATAATTGATCAATTTTCAAAACCCCAAAACACAACCGTATAACAATATTGGTAAAATTGTTTGATCAATAAGTTTAATCTGACAATCAATTGGCAAATTTGAATTTCGGATCCTTGATTTTAATATCAACATAGCCTTAGTAGCCTGATTTTGTATATGCTTCTTTGCCAGTGAAAAGAAACAGTTTTTTAAAAAAGTTAATCCAAGATATGTATAGCAATCGATAATCTTCATAACATTATCAAATAAACGAAAATTCGGTAACATGCGGCATTTAGAACCAAAAATAATGAAATTAGTTTTACTTGTGTTAACTACTGTACACAATATTCTTGAAAAAAACACCTGGTAATGATGTCTGCATGTCGATTTCATTTTTAGCAAAGATGATCACAGTATCATCAGCATATAATAAAACGAGTATCTCTAAATATTCTGTTAAAATGTTATCACTTATAGCAACGCCATTACAATTTTGACCATTTAAGATTGTCTCAAGGTCATTAACAAAAATGGCAAATAGCAGAGGAGATAGATGTTCCCCTTATCGTACACCAGATTGACAATAAAAATATTGCGATACATTACCATTATGTTCATTTGAAATATAACATTGAAATATGTTCCTGATATTCCAGAATTCAGAAGCTCAGACCAAAGTCCGGATCTCCATACATGATCAAAAGACTTACTGAAATCGATAAAAGTGCAAAAATAGTTTTTTACTTCGACTTCTTAGATATGTAATGACAGAATATCTGGTATATAAATGGTCTGTTACAGAGTAACCTTTTCTAAAACCGGCCTGGGTTTCAGATAGAATATCGTTAATTTCTGAACAAAAAGCGTTAATCGATTAATTCCGAGAAGTGGTGAATAATTTGCCCATACAGCTTAGTATTGTAATGTGTCTGTAATTTTCAGGTAGACTGGGATCGCCTTTCTTTTTGTATATTGCTATGATAACTCCATTTGACCAGGCATCAGGTAGTATACCTGTATCAAATACTTTGTTAAAAAGTACGACATACAAAACAAAGGTAACAAAATATCAATTGATGACTTAATGTGCTTATTTAGGATTTCATCTTGACCAGCTGATTTACAATTTTTGAGGGATTTAGCAGCACAACGTATCTCTTGTTCAGTAGTAGGAATATCAAATAAATCATTACGTTATAAACAGTACTATTTACATCCTTTAGGCAATCATACAAAATATCCAAACCAATATCCGTATAACATACTGTTTTTAATGCTCGCTTATTTCAAATGTTACATATATAGTGTGTGATTAAAATTTCAGTCGACAGATATGGTATGGATTTCTGCGAAAACATTGTACAATTTAAAGAATAAGAGAAATTTCGTGCACAAAAAAAATCGACGTGGGGGTTGGAAAGGGGGATAGTTAGCGCCTGATAAGGCATTTCCTTAAAATTGTATTGATTAATGTATATGCTAATTGTATTAATTATATATCTATGTCCTGTAAAGCGCTTTAGAGTGGCTTATGTTAGCTAGATAGGGCGCTATACCAAATGCTATATATTTGTTAATAAAAGTCCCCTATTCTATTTGCCATCGCTACCAAGTAGGGAACTATATATTCTTTGCAGGTATAGAGATAGTGAAGAAAAATCAATCATTTTTCCTCGTATAAACTATAACAAGTTCATCTAGGGGATCGGGTGGTTTCTCCTGTCTTTATGGAGTGTTTTTTTCTTTCTCTCTCAACGCATCATGCGCGGCGTGTTAGGTTTCCCATAATGCATGCCCATACTTGAACAGAATTGTTTTCGTAAGTTTTGACGAAGTAAAATGATTAAAATGTTAACGACGTGTGCATTTCACGCTATGATTTTTTTCCTGTTATTACAACTTTTACTTTCGCATTATTACGTGTTTATTCCAAGTTATTACGTGATTTTTCGCGTTGTTACGACTTTTGCTTTCGCGTTAATACGTGTTTATTTCGCGTTATTGCGCGTTGTTTTTACGTAATTACGTGTTTATTTCCGTAATTACATGTTTTTTTCGCGTCATTACGACTTTCCAGGATTTTTATTTCTTACATTTTGTATAAACGACTAATAGGCTTTCGTACTTTTGCTTTCTGTATCCCTGGAATATGTCATAGCAACTTCGAAGGCTCAGTTTGCGAGGCTTTTGTGGAAGAGACAAGAAGGCGAGTTATATTATTTGATGTCAATCAAAAGAATCTCACGGTCGCGTAACGGTAAAAAAAATACTGGCGTTGAAGTCGGATGTCGCTCCTTTGTAATCTACTAACCCGATAACAATCAAACAGCTATCCACGTGCCTTCAATTTCATATCTAGAGAGCGTAAGTGAGCGTAACCCCTGGATTATCGAGGATGGTGAATCTGTTGCAAATATTTGTGTGTGCATGTCGAGTGTATCAGATGTGTAAGGGCTATATTTCATTATTGTTTCTGATAATTTTGGGGTGATATCATACAGAAGAAATCAATATCATTCTTCCAAAATGCGCTTTTGTTGTCAAATATTGCACATTAAGACAATATTTTATAGCAATGCGACGTCATAAAACATGATCAATATATCTTCCGGAAATGAAGTACATCACATCCGTTCAACAACAGGGTGATAATGATTATGTAAAGAACTCAACTGTCATGAACAAACAATGCGTTTATGCCAATTAAACATTAGACATTGTATACTATCATTATTTACTATGATATTACTTCTTACAAAATAAAAATGAGGAACTGAGGTCCGGTTTTGGTTTGACATTGTTCAACGACCAGCTTATGTCATTTAAGGACGTGCCACTCAGAAACAATATCAACACAACGTTCCGTTACGATAAGCTTCTAGGTGTTTCGCGAGATCAAATTTTATCATTCATGTCAAATGCAAATACATTGTATGATAAGAAAAAAACTCAGTTTTGACAAAAAGAATTAAAATGTTCAAATATCTTCACATGATGTCTTTTTGAGTTAGTTTTGCGACCGAAAAAATATGTGCATTTTTGTGCATCTCGATTTATGTACAAAAGTTCACTGTTTTCCTGTGTATAAACCCCAAAATGATCCTGGTTACCAGTTTTCCTTAAAAAATAATCCTGGTTACCAGTATTCCTTAAAAAATATTCCTGGTTACCAGTATTCCTTAAAAAATATTCCTGGTTACCAGTACTCCCAAAAGAAAATAATCCTGGTTACCAGTATTCCTTAAAAAATATTCCTTGAAAAATAATCCTGGTTACCAGTATTCCTTGAAAAGTAATCCTTGTTACCAGTATTCCTTAGAGAAAATAATCCTGGTTACCAGTGTTCATTAAAAAATAATCCTGGTTACCAGTATTCCTTAAAGAAAATAATACTGGTTACCAGTATTTATTTGTAAATAATCCTGGTTACTAGTATTCATTAAAAAAATAATCCTGGTTACCAGTATTTATTAAAGAAAATAATCCTGGTTACCAGCATTCCTTAAATACAATTATCATGGTTATCAGCATTCCTTAAATAAAACAATCCTGGTTACCAGTATTCCTAAAATGCAATTATCATGGCTACCAGTATTCCTTAAATAAAATAATCCTGGTAACCAGTAGTCCTTAAATAAAATATATATTATAGAGGTACATCGTACATTTGTTGATACGTACATTCACGTACCGAACCACAGTTTGAATTAACATCTCTAGTTGATTGTGCACATAACACTACAGTTTTGTATATAGTTGATTCTTGTCTATAACCAGAACCATTCAGTTTCTGTGAGTGGATATAGGTCGTCTACATCAATATAGTCACATATAGCGTATACTATTTATAGGTCTTGTCATCTCATTAAATACATAGTAAAAATACCTGTGCTGTTTTATAATCACAGAAATAGCATGACGAGGGACCTAACCTATAATATATCAGCTGTCTGCTTCGAACTTTTTGTAAAACTGTTTTACTGTATGAATATTCGCTTTGCAGTTTGTATTTCGTATGTGGTATTAATGTTAAACAGGCTATGAATATATTTGTTTAGCAACAGAAAAAAAATAAAACATTTTTACTTCTTTTTTTATCCAACAGAGAAATATTGTCAAGTATCTTAAAGAATTCATTTGTAAAATGGACTTATACAAGCAACAAACTTTGTTTAACTGATTCAAATAAATGATGGGCGTGGTAGCAGGGGCTTGGATTATAACGGTAGTTTGGCTGAAAGTATGGAATTTCCAGCAAATGTGAAACGTGTGTCCGGTACACACACCACCACCACAGGGGCATGTCACACCTTAATGGGCATCACAGTATATGTAAGGTTATACTAACTGATAAATACTTTGATTTCAAACTCTACCTGACATGTCCCTGTGCTAAACACACCCAGGACCTGTATATCTGTCGTGACTAACAAACGAGATAAATGTATATGTGGCCATATCGAATGATATAACTTATCAAAACAGATTTCTAAAGTCAATACTGCCTGATCGATAAGTTTGGTACAAATTGATTTTAAGCCCGATGTTTTACTATTGAACATGCATTGGTTTATCTCGGCATGTTTGTTTAGAACGGAATGAAATGATTTTAATCGTACACATGTCAATAGTTCTGGAGACCGCGATTTAAGACGAATTCTGATTGTATACTGGAAGCGGCGTTCCCCGAGAATGTCGACATTTGAACAGTTGTTGGTATGAAGTAGGTACCTTTGGAACAAGTCTCAGTCATATTGACCTGTGGGAGAATACACAGTATGTAAAACACTTTCCCCACTACATACAGCGACATGTATGGGGGAAAAGAAGAACACCGCAAGGAGAAAAAGACTGATCACGAAGGGGATGTAATAAGTACCAATGACACGTTGGAAGGAAAATCTGAAAAATAATCATAACTTTGGATACAACGAGCATACTGACAACATATATATTGTAGCAGTAATCTACATAGTTTGAAAACATAACATTTGTAGAAAACACAAACAAATATATATAGCTCAACGATGACCTGTCAACCTCCTCCGACAGTTGCTCACGGACATCTGGTCAACTCTCAAGCATCTTACGTTATCGGTTCGACAATACAGTATGGATGTAACGCGATCTACAGCATGACCGGAGGTTCCACCCTGCAGTGTGTAGCGGCTCCTACTGGCGCTTCAGGTTCTACCAATCCACCACATTGGCTGGGTTCATACCCCATCTGTTCACTTGAGTTTCTGGAGACAGGTACGATCTTGAAACACTCTTCGTTTCCACATGCTACCGTTACAAATATCTATGGTGGCTGATGTGATATCACAGTTTGTATTCCGAGTCTATCATATACATGTAAGACGACTTTGCCGCTCATTGGGTTGAAACACACTGCTTAAGTTAAGTATTAGAACACCTCAAAAGAGTGTATGTTTTAGGGTGTAAAGGTCAAGGTGAATGTCTGAGCTACTCTCTTCCGCCCTCATTTCTTAACGGAAATTCAAAAATATTTACATAAGCATAACATATATGTCAAATGTAAAAAGATATGTAAAACAACATAAAAGATTAAAAATCACAAACGTAATCAAATAGAATGTATAAATGAATGAAAGTTTAAAAACATCTGCATGGAAGAAAATTCTGAACTTCAAAAATCATACTACACTACACTACATGTGTATATGGTTTTTGTCCCTAAAGGTTTACCCTCTGGTTGCTGATTTTGATTATCATTTTATAAGTTATAGCCTGGATCTGATACTAATGATTGTCACAATCTTAGTCTGGTTGCTGATTATTACAGCCCTTGATGACTTGATGTTTTTATTGCTACAGCCTGGTTCTGGTTGCTGATTTGATGTTTTTATTGCTACAGCTTGGTTTTGGTCGCTAAGTTGATGTTTTTATTGCTACAGCATGGTTCTGGTTGCTGATTTGATGTTTTTATTGCTACAGCCTGGTTCTGGTTGCTGATTTGATGTTTTTATTGCTACAGTTTGGTTCTGGTAGCTGATTTGATGATTTGACTTCGACAGTTTGGTTTTGGTTGCTAAGTTAATGTTTTTATTTCGACAGTTTGGTTCTGGTTGCTGATTTGATGTTTTTATTGCTACAATTTGGTTATGGTTGCTGATTTTATGTTTTTTATTGCTACAGTTAAGTTCTGTTTGGTGATTTGATGTTTTTATTGCTACAGTTTGGTTCTAGTAGCTGATTTGATGTTTTTATTGCTACAGTTTGGTTCTGTTTGGTGATTTGATGTTTTTATTGCTACAGTTTGGTTCTGTTTGGTGTTTTGATGTTTATTGCTACAGTTTGGTTCTAGTAGCTGATTTGATGTTTTTATTGCTACAGTTTGGTTCTGTTTGGTGATTTGATGTTTTCGTTGCCACAGTTTGGTTCTGGTAGCTAATTTGATGTTTTTATTTCGACAGCTTGGTTCTGGTTGGTGATTCGATGTTTTTATTGCTACAGTTTGGTTCTGGTTGCTGATTTTATGTTTTTATTGCTACAGTTTGGTTCTGGCTACTGAGTTGATGTTTTTATTGCTACAGTTTGGTTCTGGCTACTGAGTTAATGTTTTTATTGCTACAGTTTGGTTCTGGTTGCTGAGTTGATGTTTTTATTGCTACAGTTTGGTTCTGTTTGGTGATTTGATGTTTTTATTGCTACAGTTTGGTTCTGGTAGCTAATTTGATGTTTTTACTTCGACAGCTTGGTTCTGGTTGCTGATTTGATGTTTTTACTTCGACAGCTTGGTTCTGGTTGCTGAGTTGAGACTTTTATCTGTTTCAGCCTGGTTCAGGTTGCTGATTTGAGACTTTTATCTGTTTCAGCCTGGTTCTGGTTGCTGTTTTGAGACTTTTATCTGTTTCAGGCTGGTTCTAGTTGCTGATTTGAGACTTTTAATTGTTTCAGCCTGGTTCTGGTTGCTGATTTGAGACTTTTATCTATTTCAGCCTGGTTTTGGTTGCTGATTTGAGACTTTTATCTGTTTCAGCCTGGTTCTGGTTGCTGATTTGGGACTTTTATCTGTTTCAGCCAAGTTCTGGTGGCTGATTTGAGACTTTTATCTGTTTCAGCCTGGTTCTGGTTGCTGATTTGAGACTTTTGTATGTTTTAGCCTGGTTCTGGTTGCTGATTTGAGACTTTAAATTGTTTCAGCCTGGTTCTGGTTGCTGATTTGAGACTTTAAATTGTTTCAGCCTGGTTCTGGTTGCTGATTTGAGACTTTTGTATGTTTCAGCCTGGTTCTGGTTGCTGATTTGGGACTTTTATCTGTTTCAGCCAAGTTCTGGTGGCTGATTTGAGACTTTTATCTGTGTCAGTCTGGTTCTGGTTGCTGATTTGAGACTTTTGTATGTTTTAGCCTGGTTCTGGTTGCTGATTTGGGACTTTTATCTGTTTTAGCCTGGTTCTGGTTGCTGATTTCAGACTTTTATCTGTTTCAGCCTGGATCTGGTTGCTGATTTCAGACTTTTTATCTGTTTCAGCCTGGATCTGGTTGCTGATTTGAGACTTTTTCATCATATTTTATTGAGTAAACAATAGGATTGAACAGCAAGCTAGGCCTATATAAGTTCTCTCCTTAGGTTGACATGACAAAGATAATGATGAATGAAACGGATAGTAAGAAAATATTGATGCAAATTTTATATAATAAGTAGCATAGACATATATATAGCAGATGGTATAGGGGAGATAATTCCATGTATGTTTTAATTACATATAAATATTTAATTGATATGTTTAGCTATACAATGCTCTTATTAAAAAGTCAATCATAATTAATTAGTTATAGGAAAGCAATGCCCTAATGATATATTAAACAGAGAAATTGCTACAATTGTATTTTTTTTTATTTTTTTTTCATTTTTTTTTGCAAGTCATTAGAGCCCCCTATTCATACCCTGCTGCTGTTGCATGAAGTAGTTAAAAGTATAGAACCATTTAGTATCAATATATATATCATTGGTAGGAGTGATAAAAAGTAAGGGATACAACAACATCAAAATATGAAAAAAATAAAATGAGGCAATTCAGCTAGAAGATTTTGAAAATGTAGTGTAAGTGTAAGATGTATTGCCAGTGTTCTATGTGTAAATCTTTCATCCCATCGAGTTTCAGACAAAAAGTCTCTAACGGCCTCTACCGTTCACATATCATCCACTCGAGCGGAATCCATATTCAACCACAGAACACTAAGCATTCAAACTTAGAACATTTATGTTTTACTTTATTGCACCCATCAGTAAAAACAGCACCCAAAGCTTGATCCTTTAGGTATATAATATTAAAACATCAATGTATATATAACAATCAGTAGAATCACATAATGGTTTAGGGACAGTATTCTATCAGTTATGACTATATATAACAAAATTTATAGATTGTTTTGATCAATTAGACAAGTCTTCTTGTGTTGTATATATATTTAAGAACACTATCAAGTATAGATTTATTTTCAGTATTGTTTAACACAGTGCTTCCATTAAGAAGTGTTTTAGTATCAAGATTAACCAGACCCACTTCAAAAATCCCATTTATTAAAGTTTGTCTCTCATCAGTATACATTGGACATTGAGAAAGATAATGTGTAGCAGTTTCATAAGCATCACCACACAGACAAGATGTAGACTCTTTCAAGTGATCTTTGAACAGATCATAGTTCAGGTTACTCGCCTCATTTCTCAGTTGACATAAGATTATGTAACCCTTTCTGCTTTCTCAGTTTTGAAATACATCCGAGATATCATTATTACAACACATTTTATTATATACCTTGGCCTTAAATTTATTAAGAGTAGGGGAATGTACTGTATCATTTTCAAGTCCATTGAACTTGTTTCACATTACTGGGAAGAAGCTTTTAGCATAGGATTCTGTACGACATAGTGGTGGGTTAAACATTCTTACATTTCTGAGAGTATACCTATCGTTTTCTGGGTTATGAATAAGAGGATCAATTATGTCATGGAGGTATGTGGGTGATACATTGTTAGTTATTTTATGCATCTGAATTAGCTTATGGTTCATCCTTCGATCAGACAGAGATTCCCAATCTAGTTCTTTATATAGAGTTTGGTGTGATGTACCTTTCCTTAGGCCTGTGATAATCCTTGCAGCTTCTAGTTGTACAGATTCTAATAAATTTTTAAGAGAGTCAGAGCAGTTGTCCCAGACAATATCTGCATATTCAAGCTTATATTTCAGATACCTAAGCATGTTTATTCTTTTACTAGCCTTTTCATATATTAATTGAACATGGTTAGACCAAGTGCCATCTTCAGAAAAAGTAAATCCAAGATGTTTGTGATCATGGGCATTATCTAAGTATTAGAGAAATTAATTAGAGGATGGATAGGTTCTTTTTTTCTTGAAAAAAATAGTTATTTGGTTTTAGAGGGGTTAAGTTTAATGTCCCATGTACTAGCCCAGTTATCAATTCTATCTATGTCTTGGTTAAGATAATCTGCTGCTAGTTGTGGGTTTTCGTCTACGATGACATATAATGATGTATCATATGCAAACAGCTTAATGTTACTCTGGACTATATCATTGATGTTATTAATGTATAATAGAAATAAAAAGGACCGAAAACTGATCCCTGAGGAACACCGGCATTAACAACCCTAAAAGTAGAAAAAAGACCTTCAGTTAGAACTCTCTGCTTTCTATCTTCAAGATAATTCTCAAACCAGTTAAAAACATTGCCAGATATACCATATGCTTTTAGTTTATGCAGTAAACCTTTGTGCAAAACTCTATCAAAAGCCTTGCTGATGTCACAAAATACAAACTTTAATTCTTTCCCTTTATCCAGGTTGCTAATTATGGTGTGGTATATAGAGAGAAGTTGGTTTAATGTTGAATCACGTGGTTTAAAGCCTGATTGGTCCTTGGAAAGTATATTATTAGTTGTTAAATAATTATATAAATATTTGAATATAATTTATTCTAAGATTTTACTAAAACATGATGTTACAGATATTGGTCGATAATTGGAATAATTATTTTTTAAACCATTCCCTTTGTATACAGCACTAACATTAGCCATCTTCCATGGCCCAGGTATGCACCCGTTAGATATAGTATTGTTAAATAAAATTGTAAGTGGGAGTATTAAGGAAGGTTTTAACTTTTTATGACTTTAGGTAACATGCCATCAGGTCCTTTGAGACTTTTATCTGTTTCAGCCTGGTTCTGGTTGCTAAGTTGAGGCTTTTGTATGTTTAAGCCTGGTTGTGGTTGCTGATTTGAGATTTTTATCTGTTTCAGCCTGGTTCTGGTTGCTGATTTGAGATTTTTATCTGTTTCAGCCTGGTTCTGGTTGCTGATTTGAGACTTTTATCTGTTTCAGCCTGGTTCTGGTTGCTGATTTGAAACTTTTATCTGTTTCAGCCTGGTTCTGGTTGCTGATTTGAAACTTTTATCTGTTTCAGTCTGGTTCCGGTTGCTGATTTGAGACTTTGATCTATTTCAGCCTGGTTCTGGTTGCTGATTTGAGACTTTGATCTATTTCAGCCTGGTTTTGGTTGCTGATTTGAGACTTTTATCTGTTTCATCCGGGTTCTGGTTGCTGATTTGAGACTTTTATATGTTACATCCGGGTTCTGGTTGCTGATTTTAGACTTTTAATTGTTTCAGCCTGGATCTGCTTGCTGATTTGAGACTTTGATCTGTTTCAGCCTGGTTCTGGTTGCTGATTTGAGACTTTTATCTGTTACATCCGGGTTCTGGTTGCTGATTTGAGACTTTTAATTGTTTCAGCCTGGATCTGGTTGCTGATTTGAGACTTTGATCTGTTTCAGCCGGGTTCTTGTTGCTGATTTGAGACTTTTATCTGTTTCAGCCGGGTTCTTGTTGCTGATTTGAGATTTTTATCTGTTTCAGCCTGGTTCTGGTTGCTGATTTGAGACTTTTAATTGTTTCAGCCTGGATCTGGTTGCTGATTTGAGACTTTTATCTGTTTCAGCCTGGTTCTGGTTGCTGATTTGAGACTTTTATCTGTTTCAGCCTGGTTCTGGTTGCTGATTTGAGACTTTTATCTGTTTCAGCCTGGTTCTGGTTGCTGATAGGTATACTGGGACTTCTCACTCTGGGTCTGATTGCTTGTCTCACCTGGTTCTGTATCCGATACTGCTGCAACAACTGTAGGTGTGTATTACATTACTCGTAGTGTGTATTGATGTCCATTTATACAAAGAGCGATATTCGTATATTTATACAACTTACTGTATGTGTATGCAATAAGTTGTGAGTGTGCATTCAAATATATATATATTCATACCCTAAGCTGTAGATGTGTATTCCAACAACTAGTGTTAGGCATGAATTCACATGTGTATGTGTATTCACAAAACTTGCTGTTTCACATCAGGTTACCAGTGTGTAAATCAACGATTAATGTGTATTGTAGATAGATCTCAAGTTGATCGCTTTCCTGTTATATGAATATCGTGAAGTTTATATTGCTATTCCAGCACGCATGTACGTTGTAGACAAGCCTTTTCCTTAGAATTTAATATTTTTAGAAAATGAATCATAAATGTTTTAATCAAATGACATGTATAAAAAATCATGCATGAATCGGAAAACTTTCAGACGCCAAAGAAAAGTGCGGGACGCTGCGGATATCGAAGAAGGTCAACAGTCTAGATCTCAGTGCAGTAAACTGTGGTGTGGATGCTGCTTCTACTGCATGCGTACACCGGAAAAAACGACAGATGGATGCTGTGACTACTTTGGTTGCTGTGGTTACGCCGGATGTTGTTCATGTTGTTGCTGGTGCTGCAGATGTTGCCGAGAACCTGTAGAACCGGAAAGAACAGTGCGCGTGCGTCAAGGCAAACACAAACATCGGTCGATATTTTCAATAAAGAGGCAAAGATCGGTCAACAAGAAGAAGAAAATGTCTTTGATAAAGTTGAGAAGCAAGCGCCAGATCGCAAGGAGTACTTCCTTACCAACCACTCAGATGGTGCGCTCACTGATACAGGACGACCCCGTCATGTTTCGAAAGGTGGCCAAGGAACTTCCGGTTTGGATGCCGCATACGCATTCGATCAGAGACATCAATACAAGTACTAAGTAGGTCACATAACGTTCACTTATACAGAGAACGTCTGTATAATGTGTTTGTGTTATGAAATTAAATTAAAGATTATATCAATTACTAGCGTTCAGCTATCTAGTCCATTTAAGTAGTACACACTATGTTTTCAGCATGCTTGTTTTGAATAGAAATGAATTGTGGTTCTGTAGCAAGAGTTGTCTTTCTTTGACAATATAAAGACACACATTTGTACAAAATAAGATTGTATATCATGGTGTCGACAGACAGGAAAAAGATTTCACCTCAAATGCGACACACAGATATTATATTTAAGGAACATATGCATGATCAACTATATGTGACATCCGCCTTACTATTAATGCAGCTATTAAATCTGTGATTGAAGGATCGTACGTTATAAATTATTGAAAAACGAATTGCTTTCGCACAAGCTTACTATGAAATGATGAAAATAATAATTATACAGTGTACTATATGTCAGACTTGCCAAATGAGAACTATAAATTTTAATTATAATGTAAAAAAATATTTGTCAAATTCAAATGTTCACCGGGCTAAAATAAAAATAGAGAAGACTCACAACTTCCTATGTAGTTTTGTCATCATTGTTTTGGATTTCTCCGTAGTTCCTAAATTTCCCAACAGCCTTACACATTACCACCACAAGCTTTGGTCGTGATGTGACCAATGTTGCCATACTATATGTCACTACATGTACCCAGTTGGTAGCAAACTTACCTTGGTATCTAGTGCACTTTGTAGTGCACACGTAGTGAACAAGGAAGTGAACTAGACAAAACTTTGAAGTTATGTTTGTTAGTTCGTCGTCCATTGCTGTCATACTGTAGTAACGACCATATTAATGTAATGTAGTTTAGGAACGAAAGAACACCTGACTTGATCATGACGTCATAATAAATTGGCCTGGACGATAAGTAAATTAGTTATCCCTCTACAACGTGAACTCTTTAGTAAAACACAACTGTTTAGTTAGCTCATTGCTTAACTGTCTAGCAAAGTTGACGTCATATCTGGCTTAGAAGCAGCTGATACATGTAGGCATCTATATATTAAAAACTCTTTGAGGTCTTTTAATATACGTAAAACTGTTAGCAATGGAGAAAACTTAGTTCGTGAAAAGAAGAAATACAAGACACACGAGGCGAGGGTGAAGAGATCTTATCTTCTGAATGAGGGTGATATGTTAGACGTTTTGAGAACAAATGATCGAAAATATGTTTATAGATTTTTTTTCTAGACGTCCGATTTGTGATACCGAAAATCTAGTTTTACAGTAAATGATTTTTACCAATATTTCAAAAGCATTGACAATATGTCAGTTGACTTTTCTCCCGTCAATGTTGAACATACCCTGAGCTTGATGAAGATGTCGGTCTTGATGAATTATTGAATGTAGTTTCAACAAAAAAGTCCAAAAATTAAATCCGCCAGTTTAGACAATATCATTAATAAATATTTTATTGAGAATATTAATGTTTTTGCACCAGTTTTGCTGAAATTGTTTAATACCATATTACAGGTAGGATACTTTCCTAAAGCTTGGTCAGAAGGAGTTATTATAACTCTGCATAAAAAGGTGATAAAAACGACGTAAATAATTATAAGGGAAGCATGTTAGTAAGTCATATGGCCTAGCTGTTTTCCTCACTCTTAAATAGTGAGAATGTAATTGTAAAAAGGTTTATTGTGTTTTTGTATATTATAGAAAAACATTTGGTAGTATATCACATTAATAGAAATGAATAAAAAGAAACTATTTCATGAGTTTGTAATTGTTATGTATGGAATTAAATCTATTGCATATGTTCTCCGCCATTATTTGTGTAGTATTGTGTAGCAATATTTATTTTTATATATGTCTATATGCGATGTGCATTTGGTAATTAATTGAATTAAACTAATAAAACTACATTAATTAGTTACAACAGACGATGCATGTACAGTGTAAGTATGAAATTATTTATGATAATGGTGTTGTTCTCGAATCAAACATAAAATACATCTTTGCTAACAGACAGGAACCATTAGTGACAGTGTAACGACAGCAGACAAAAGGTAAAAATTAATTACAAAACGTGACATTGTAAAATAGTTGACATACTCGTTTTCTCTGCGTGACCCACTATGACCCGATATATATCCAAATAAAATAATCGATGTACTTATCAAAAGTCAACTTTGTATTTATTTTGGAGTAATTTCCATTATTCATAAAGTTTTTGACGTTCAATAAATCACGTTTAAAATATTTTTTACCTAATTCAGTGTTGTTTTCCTATTTTTGCCATATTCTTATTGATGCAAATTATGAAATGTTTCATTTAGTCCTGAACCAAGAGAATTATTTTCCATTATTTTCAATGACATTTTCCTTTACCGATATTATTCAGTACAAACTGGGCAAACACGTATGAAAAGTTTTTCGGTTTGTATAACCATGGTAGTAATCTAACATCGCAGTCAATTAAATATAATAATTAGATAGTATACGTGGGCACAAGTGTGTAATAATACACCACAATGCGTATCATGCCTTGGTGCATATTATGGCCCACATCACATATTTCCAGTGGTTTAGACATGTTTGTGCTTTTTATTTTATAAGTTTAAGATATCTCAACATGTTGACCTTCTGTATAGTTAATTAGAATTTACCAATACATATTTCCATGTCTAGCGCGATTAAGTTAAGTGATTTGTGAAAGAAATGAATCTTCAGCGAATATATTAATACATTTTGAACTAGTTATTAACGATTTTATCATTTATTATTATCTCTGCTCAACTCACAGAGGAATTTAGAAGTATTCAGAGTCAGTATTAACCTGTAAAATATAAAAATACACTTAAAAAGTCATTATGCACAGCAATCTAATGATATATTACTGTAATTTAAACGATTATAATCAGACCATAAAAGAATGTAGGATTTTAAACCGTTTGTTGCTCACATTTGCAAAGCATCCCAAATATACATATTGTAGATTCTTTTACGTGTATACAATTTTTGTTTACGTTCTCAACCTTGACTTAAACATCTGTGTCATCACCTGTGGTTGTTGGTGTTCTGTGTCTACAACAGGGGCCATGTCAGCCGAGAGTCGTAGGGCTTTTATCTCCAGACCATGTAGTATCATCAGCAATTAACTGATTCTGATTGGTTTCAGAAACTGGCATTGTGAACTAAACGGGCATCCCGCGGCCATAAAGATTATAGTGACATCCAGATAATATCCTTAACTGACATTTCACACTACGTAGGCTTTCTATGTGTATGTAAGAAGGTGTCGTGAGTTCATCGAAAGGGTAGAATGTCAGATTGTTTTTAACAAACCTCGAGGATATCAGTTTTCTTAATTGTCTCCACCTTCCTTAGTTAGAGAAAAACAGTTTCTACAATATATTTGAGATATTTTGAGATCAGATGACGAAGTCCACTAGATTCAAAATTCTACTCATCAAACATTCTACTTAACCGTGAAACCGATTCGTGAAAAAGACATGCAGAGCCTTTGAGCTCATAAGATTACTTATTATCAACTTAATGAAAAACAGATATTTAATATATACAGTTGGGAGCAAACTTAACTTGGTGGCCTAGTGCACTGGAGTTTACAAGAAAAGTAAACTTCTGTTCACAAACTTCTGCACTGGAGTTAACACTGATGTAAACTTGAATTCACATCGATGTGCACTGGAGTTAACACTAATGTAAACTTGAGTTCACATCAATGTGCACTGGAGTTAACACTAATGTAAACTTGAGTTAACACTGATGTAAACTTGAGTTAACATCAATTTTCACTGGAGTTCACATCAATGTGCACTGAAGTTAACACTGATGTAAACTTGAGTTAACACTGATGTAAACTTGAGTTCACATCAATGTGCACTGGAGTTAACACTCATGTAAACTTGAGTTCACATCGATGTGCACTGGAGTTCACATCAATGTGCACTGGAGTTAACACTGATGTAAACTGGAGTTAACACTGATGTAAACTGGAGTTAATATCAATTTGCACTGGAGTTCACATCAATGTGCACTGGAGTTAACACTGATGTAAACTTAAGTTAACACTGATGTAAACTTGAGTTAACACTGATGTAAACTTGAGTTAACACTGATGTAAACTTGAGTTAGCACTGATGTAAACTGGAGTTAACACTGATGTAAACTGGAGTTAACATCAATTTGCACTGGAGTTAACACTAATGTAAACTTGAGTTCACATCAATGTGCACTGGAGTTAACAGTAATGTAAACTGGAGTTAACACTGATGTAAACTGGAGTTAACACTGATGTAAACTGGAGTTAACACTAATGTAAACTGGAGTTACCATCAATTTGCACTGGAGTTAACAATAATGTAAACTTGAGTTCACATCAATGTGCACTGGAGTTAACACTGATGTTAACTGGAGTTAACACTAATGTAAACTTGAGTTCTCATCGAAGGGCACTGGATTAAACAGTTCACAAGGTAATTTTATTTATCATATCATATCTGGCCTTTTCATTATTTTATATATACTATGATTTTCTCCCCTCCCGTCTGCTCAATAAATCAATAAAGTAATAAAATATTAGATGTTAACTGTTCATATTGACTAGGATTCAAGCATGTATATACATGTATAGGTGGTTTAAAGTTTATAATACTTTGTCTTAAAGACATAATCACCATTAAAGCTCCCTTATAGTTATACCAGTATTACGTCTACATTAAATATACATGCTAGTGAGTCTTTTTCTGTATTTTCCTTTTGAAAAAAGAAAATAGACAGCTCATGTAGGAAACTACGTATTCCGTCTTTGCGTATTGCAGAGTTATCTTCTCTTGGGTGCAGGTATTGATTGTTACGTCATTGGTCTGTGTGAGAAAATTACGTCGTTCTCAAAAATTGATGACGTTACTCTCACAAACAAGTGACTTGACAATCAATACCTGCTCCCAAGAGAAGATAACTCTGCAATACGAAAAGACGGTATACCGTGAATAAGAAAACAATACTATAAATATATGTATAGTCTCATTCATGGATGGGTACCAATGTACTGTAGAAATAAACACCTAATGGTATTACCAGATCACCTATCCAAAGAGTAGATAATTTATGCATAAAGAATAATAGTAATGTATATATAAATCTGTTTTTAAAAAAATGATAAATTAATTATAAATGATAAATGCCTCCTTGGATCAATTTTTAAGCACAGATTTGAGTGTGTTTTCAAAAAAAAGGTGCTAACATTGCCTTTTTTTTCATTTGATTCATAATCCTTCCCGATTTTTTTCGAAATTTTCAAACTTTTATTTCCTTATTGACCTTCTAGTTCTTTTTTTGTAACATCTGTGCTCTGTGGCTATTCTGGACCACTGAACGTACAGGTACAACAGGCTCTATCATGGTTCAGCGACCCATTAATTGATGCAGAGGTGTGTTATCAAGCTATGTAATAACCAGTTTGTAAACCATTTGAGGGATTAGGTACATGTAGTGTGAAACACTACTATTGAGTCAAAGTCACTGTTTTGAAATAGATTTG